CAGGTCTAATAATTTTTTGTTTGACATAAATATAGCGGACACTTTATTTCCTGATAAGCATAACAATGTTGACTCGAAAACTATGGGCGACACACACTCGGAAGCAGCTTCTGGTAGACGGACACCTACTCTTTTACCACATTCAGTACCGACTCGATCTCGTTCACTGGATATTACGAAACGTAAAAGCAACTCAGATGAGACGCCTCGATCGAGGAATTCAATGAAAACGTTTGCTTCATCTGACAATTTAATCCTAGCCAATTCAGCACAAAATAAATTATCAAAGTTCGATCATGACCCACCTGACATTTCTGCTACCTCTACATCTGCAGAATCGAATGTACAAACCCCTTTGTCATCCAACGAATCATCTACTCCTTCATCAATATCGGGTGATTCGGCGCATGAGCCCCGGGACGCTCGAGTTCGTGCAATTATTGATGAGCTGTTAATTATTGCTAAACATCCGTCAAACACAAATAGTCTCACCCCCCCTCAAACGCCCGGACGGGATGGTCTTGGATGGCTGCTATTGAACCAGGATGCTAAGCCGACCTACTTTTCGCATAGAGCTAATAGCGGAATAGTAGAGTCGCCCGCCATTCCGTTGTTGTACGAATTACAAGATCTCTTGGGATGTAGAAATAATGCAATGAACGACGGAAAAGGTACAAAAAATTATCGTAAGAGTATGCCTGCTACGGATGTGGGCAAGATTCATGTTACACCTCCTGATGAAGAACATTTGGATAGAGATAATAATCGCATAGCAAAAGGGGTGACTGCGACTTCGCAAATACAAAATCTGAGTGAGAAGCAGAAATTAATACGACGCCGTTCCTCACCGTCATTTCGAGCTTCCGAGGAAAAAATGAATAGCGTTAGTGAACGAATTGGAAAGGGTCTATCATTATCAGGTAGTTTGAAGATAAGAATAGACGAGGAGGATGAGGGAGAAGTAAACAAGGGGTTATCGTGGATGTCATCATTAAGATTTCTGACTCCATGGAAGACTGCTGATTAAAAGAGAAGATTAATTGTTATCAGGCAAACAGTAAGACCTTATATAGGAAGTAATGTGGAATAAGACAAAGATAATGTAGAATTGGATTATTTGTCAGAAGACATTTTCAAGGCTTGTGGGCGAGGTAATGCAAATTTATGTATAATTCAATATTAAAAAGAAAAAGAAAGGCTAGCAAGAAAGCGAAAATTATTCATAGTATTTTTTTTCTTCTTCTTCTCTAATTAGATTATAGTTAATTGGGCTTTGTCAAGTGTGTGGATGACTAGACGTTGAGTAAAGGACAGTCGTTTGGCTTATTTTTGCCCCAAAATACATTCTACTTGTTTTTCAATTCGCCTTTTTTGGCGAAATTGGATTCGTAAAACACGCTTTGTAGATAAGTTCTAATCTTCTTTCAATAAATGGCTCAATGCAAAAAATCACGGATGACCAAGCATTCTAATTATAAATATGTTATACTACCAGATGATATTATCATGTTTTTGTTGTCAACATAAGGCATGAGTTAAAATGTTTAACCCACTTATCGACTTGAAACACGTCGATAGCAAACAAGTAGAGAAGATATATAGGGTGCTATCACATAATCACAATGATAACGAGAGATTTGCTTCTGTTATCTTTATAATGCTGTCCAATTAGAAGCATAACTCGGATAACTCAAGTCACAAAACTTGAATATCCGAAACCAGTTAATCAAACACCGGATGAAAATGAGTCATCAGTTCTCGTCGTCTCCGCGTCAGATTCTTTATCCCCGGCAATGCACGCTGGATAATTGGATACCAAATGGTCGTCCCCCACTTGATTTGGTGACGAGTAAAATGGCACAGAGCGATTTCATCTTCAAATGCCAGTACGACTATATATGGAACAAAGTGAGCATCAGATGTTTATGATGATGCTGTTAAATCGCCCACCTAGCATCGGAATTAATCATTGGGTGACATCCAACTCTTTCAAGCCCGTTGCTTGACATGTCTTAAGAGATCACCCAGCTTTCCTAGTGTTGCTAGTGATAATAATATATTTATTGGGATGACATATTGTGGTCATATGGTTTCTCATCAATCACGTACAGACGACGAGAATATCGCATTCCGAAATAGGTGAACAATGGACATATTCTATGTCAGGCTGGAATATAGAACTAGATAATATAGAGCACAGTGTATATATGGCTTTATAATCAAGACTATAATGATGTGGGCATATTGTCGACACTGTATTGTGTATACGTATATTAATTCAGTTGAGACTCAAGAATTAATTGATGATATAACTTGTGTCTAAGGTGGAATTATTAGTAGTCATATTTCCATGGTGAAATATAATCAGGACATCCACTAAAAGCGATGAACAATTTCCTTCCAATGTTACGCTCGATTGCAATTTCTGACCCGGGATGCTCTCAGAACTACGTTGTCTTACACACCTGCGTCAGTTAAAGCGTAGTTTGTTCTTGAAGGCAACTCCTTCTACTTCCTCTTGCTAAGGTATAAACTCACATCCATATGTTGTGCTGAATGAACTATGGAAATCTTACATTGAATTAGTTTTTTTCTGTCTGGTCTAATATTTCCAGTGACTGCTTAATATAAGACTACACATTGCTCGAACTTTCGTAATTTGAGCTTATCCGGCTTGAGTTCAACCTCTTAAACAATGGTCAGCAAAAAAAGAGCCAATATTAGAACAGCAACATCCTAATCGAAAAGTTTGTTTAAATAATAATTGATTTTATTGCGAATGTTATCAATTAGGTGTTAATAATACTTACTATTATTACGAATAAAGTATCATCAGCAGCTGAACAAGGAGATGCTATGTGTTCTTTCTCACGGAGTTTAAAAATACATAATTTTTTTTATACTCCGCTCGATATGCATAGTGAATTAAAAGGGGCCTAGCGCATTTATGTCCAACATCAGAGATGCAGTGATGCATATGAAAACATTGTGTCTATGCGCCTTCGTATCTTCAAAAAATATAACCTACCTTTAGGTAAGTTACTATGAATTAGATGCAACTTAAATAGGACATCAATATAACTTCTGCAATTCTCATAAATATTAGTGCAAATGAGTGCTGAATGTTTCTCTGGGATTGTGATAATATTAACTATAATACAATCTACTTGGTAGATCCATTGCTTAGAATTAACCCCGAATAATGAAAAGTACTGCTGTCCGAACAAGTTTATGAACTATCAAATAAGAAAAAACAACAAATGTATATCCACTTGTTAAAACTATAATATTTTAAGTACAACAAATGTGAATAAAACAAACCGTCAAGACTTGAATGATTACCAAACGTATAATATTATAAGATTATGATTTTTGTATTCGTAAATGCCCACTTATAATATAATCTTGGAGACCGTTACTACTCGCCGTGGAAACATTAAACAAAAATAAGAGTGACTGTTTCATTAAAATATGAAGAGTCAGCCAGCTTTGAAGAGAACAATTTTGGCATTGTTCCCTTAATATATTGGATTTATTGTTCAAAGTGCTCGAACTGAGTGTACAACAATGTCTGCTTGTCAAATTTAACAGTCCCTAACTCAATTTGGTGTGTGCTATAGTAAGAAAGTTAGAAGAGATGCGAGAAAAAAGCAGTCAATTCAAGAGTGACATAGCGCAGGCGGCTAATAGACAATGTGACTTCATTGATCCCTCAATGGATTCCGATTTCCAGCAATAATAATGTTTGCATGAAGTGTGCGGAAAAGACTACTCACGGCATGCTTACAAGAATTAGGAATCGTTTTGCTCGAGCCTCATACGCACACGCACTTCCACTCGCTCGGACGATGATGATAGTTGAGGCACATTAGCGAGTATTGAAACATGATTACAAGTACAATTATAATCGGCCGCAACTTGCAAAGATATTGCAACAGCCGTGAGTTTCCATCATTCAACGGGAATAAGATTTGCCCATCTAAACAATCCGTAACATGCTGTGTAAACAGCAGTAGCGAAAAAAGTCAGGGATGGGCCACAAAAGCACATGGATAAGCCATCAAAAGTATTAGAAGTATTAGGTAGATAACAACAATCTCTGATCTATGGCAACGTTGACAATTGCTAAGTTAAAGTCAGGAAATGGATTTGCAAAACTTGTCCAACGTATAATACCGCTTGCAAAAAAGCTCATGCACTTGGCAACCGCGTATAAATAGAAGCTTATCTTTTAAATCAGCAATTCTTTGTTACTACAAGGTCAAACCAATAAACCGAAGACGTCGGTGCATTTCGGTTTAACGAGGTTATCCTTGTATTATGTTTATTTAATTGCAGTAAATGTGACAGATTAAACCAAAACTGTGTTTTTGGTTTAGATTCTGTCTATGAGTAAAGGATTTGGACATGAAGAGAAATATTGTAACAACTGTCACAATAAATTGTTGAAGGTACAAACACTCTTATGCGTAGGTCGACATACGTGCTAATGGTTTATTTATTGGATTTTATGAATTGCACAGTTTATCAGCATCAGCCGGATTTCAGCATCAGCCGGATTTCAGCATCAGCCGCGACATTAATTATAATCGCCAAAAAACCTAATTTGTGTAACTGGATCATTGATTTAATTAGATTTGTTGTACGAACGGAGTACATGTACTTATAACAACTATGCTTATCGCTGGTATCTGTGGTCTTGTGATTTAATTGATAAACAAAACATTACGAAAATTAGTTGGTTCGCTTACTATTACTATGGTTATCAATGGTATCAGTTGTTTTGTGATTCAATTGATAAACAAAACATTACGAAAATTAGTTGGTTCGTCCAATTTCTTGATTACTGATGGTATTTACTCGTAGAATAATTATTCACTCATTGGTTGTATTTTTCTTGAAATTGAACTAATGATAAGGCGCAAATAAATGGCACATTCATTTGCCATATCAATATATAAAGAGCAAGCCAGGCAGCATACATATATCTTCACTCCAATATGTCTCTTAACACCGACCAAAGTAAAAAGGTAAAACCTTCTCCAAAATCGACACGCGGTAGAAAGCGTAGAGTAGCTCCTAATGACTTGGACCCGACGGGGCGCAACCATTTTATGGTATTGGAGAAACAAAGAATGGCAGAAAAGGGAGCCGGCTTCAAAGAAGAGCAACGTCTTTTTAACACGGTAGAAAAATCAGTCAGTATTGTAGAACATACAGCCGTAGTGACCATTAATATTGAAAGACAGGAGCTTGCACTCATGGTAATACTTATAACGAACAAATCCACGTTATAGAACATTAATATTGAACACAAATATAATTTTCTTTAGACTACAGAGGAGTTGAAAATGTATGCCAAATATATTGAGATAACGCTACATAATTATAAGCCAACTTAAGCACCGTGCACGGAGGAGTTGATAATCTAATTGAAGTTACTTAATAGTAAATACCGTGAAACGGAATTGATATATGATTTGTGTTGTTGTCGTTGTTGTTGTCGTCGTCGTTGTTGTCGTCGTCGTTGTTGTTCTTGCAAAAAGTATGTCGGCAATATTTATATGAAATTAACGAGTTTTTTACCCAACCTTTAGAGTACCTTTTTTTTTAACAATGTATATCAACATACACATGCAAACTCGATGAGTCGGTCATGCATGGTGGACCGACTTATCGAGAGATTTTAAATATTAAATTGAGAAAAAGGGCTTGGGAAGTTTTGCCTTCTTGGGCCAAAATTGAATCATCGAGAGACTTGTCGAGTTTGCATGTGTAATAAGCAAATTATGTAATAAAATAAATAGCGATGCTTGATTATTGCGATTGCACTAGTGCATTAGTTTATAATTAGTCAGGGGACGACCCTATGAGGCGTATTATAAATGTACAATGAAGAGTTGATATCTTTGATTAAACCGGATTTCAATATGTGAAAACGTGTAGAACGATTAAAAGGATTAGAAAAAGTTTTATATATATATAAAAAAAAATGGACTAGCACGATTAAATTAACGAAGCGTGTAAGCGTCTATGCTGGTCTGGAGAATTTTAATTCAAATTTTGAATTGCCCTTGTTCTCGGATACTAGTTATCAAAAAAAATTGTCAATTTTATTTAGCACGCAATTTATTTGTTACACGTGCATATACTAATACAGACTATTCCTGTTTCTTAATTGAGATGTGAGTTTATTGATGACAACAAGATCATGGCATTTGTTGGGAATTTTGAAATACAATACAATCAGTGAAGGGAGTTTGAAAAAAATAAAATCTTTCAGCGCCAAATTTATAATCCCACAAGTATTATGCTGTGTCAGTATTACGTCACGTGAATCTATAACAACAGTCTAGCTCATTTTTTATGCCCACATAAATTATATCTTCCTTCATCCCTCTGTTAAAGGTCACTTTGTCAATATTGTCCTATTTAAGGATAATTTTTTATCCTGAGCCGTTCAATAGCGAAAAGCAGAATAAACTGTTGGTTCTTTTGTGTCAAGAAGCGAACAACAAAAAACTTCTTTATTGAGCAAAACCTATATGACGGCAGACAATTTTCCCACACAACCGTCAGCTGGCTGATAAGTAGATAAAAAAGTTTGTTCTTTTATCATCCTCGGCAGCGAGGTGACATGGCGAGTTGAAAATGAACCTGCAGGTGTCAGACATTTGGTACTGCCTGGAAGATAAGACAATTATTAAGCAGAACTTCCCGAATGAAAAGAGATGCACAGTTAAACCACGTGCATGTATGTATTGTCTGGAACAGATTTCTTGTATTATAACATTGAAGATCGATAGCTGAGAGTAGACTTGAGATCTGAAAATGAAAATGAAAATAGGATGGAATGAGTGTCAATAATAATTAACGCTTTTACGCCATTCATCATTACTCACAACATGTACTGTTCGATCTGCGTCAATTATGCTTTGACCCCATTTACATATGCTTATGTCAAAGGACTGCTGTTTGAAGCTGTTTAATATAATAATTCAAACTTGGCATAAGTGAGTGCAGGCTTACAGAAATCGGTGCAATTTCTGATCCTTCCAATTAACCGTAATACAAATTGTTAAGTTCAAGTCTCCCAAACTGCTGCCAGAACAAATTTCACAAAGTTTATGAAACGAAACCAGAAATAAATGTCTGCTCGTTGAAACTTAACAAAGCTTAGAGCTACAAGTAATTCAATCTCTGACCACTACAAAAGGTCCATTGAATGAAAGAGTTTGACCGTAATGTTATGGATTAAATCATGTGTATATTTATTGTGTTCGAAAATGTTGTCTATAACCATGCGCCTACTATTCGTATTGCGAATGTTAAGTTAAGAGACCACGACGAAACAAAGTCGATATATCTGAGTATTATCTTGCTTAACTATAATTGACGTGCATACTTTGTGCTCATGAGGTGTCGAATTAGTTTTTATGACGTAGCTTGGAAAGCATGAAACATGTACATTTCGATATACAGTCTTGAATCAATTTTCATAATTTCAAATACAGTAGACATGTGATAAATGGAATATCGATCAACTTTATAAAACGTGACATTACATCTTTCATTTTATGACTACCCCAATTTATATAGTTGGTCTGTTTTCCATTCTTATTTGCTTCTTCGTTATTATGCATGATAAGTTAAATTACAAATGAAATCCATGGCAATCGATAGCCGTTAGGTTTAGATAAAGTCGAGTGGGTGTATCGTTGGTGCATATGTTTGCTGTAATTACAACGATAGTGTAGAAAGGTTAGCCCGTGTTATGTAACATCTTTTACTTTGTAGTAGTACAAATAACTCTTTTGTTGTAAACCTTTCGTACAGTTGTTTATCGGGCACTCAAACTGAATAGCACAAGTTATCTGTATACGATAATACGATCAAAGAGTCACACACCAGTTCCATTACTATACTTTTGAACGGACAACACACGAAGTGTGTAACGAAAAAATAGGGTAAAAAGATACACGCATATTTGAGTGCGCATACCTTACCCAAATGCAGGTTGCTTTGTTTCGCGTGGTTTTATGTAAATATTTAACTATTACTATTAGTATTACTATTACTATTACTATTGGTTTTTAAACTGTCGGAAAAGGTTTCACCTTCTTTTTCCCTTGTGTTTCTTTGTCTCGATTCAATCACAAATGACTCGATCAAACAGTTGTAGCACAATTCTTAATAGTCGGAATCACGGGGACAGCCAAATGGTCCCGATTCTTTTTTTTTTTTTTTTCCCAGCGCAATTCTTTGGGTCTAACTTTATGCATCCTGACTCACCGTTCTGGCCCCCTTCTACTGATGTTCTATTGGAGGACTCAAGTAAGGCTTTGCTGTGGCGCAAGAATGATTCAAGCAAACAAGTTTCCTAATATTTACGATTCTTTTAAGTGCCATAAATGGCAATATTTTATTGAATAATTTTGACAGAGAATGAACTGTCGTTCCAGTGCAGTGCTAGATCAGGGTAATATAAATACTGTAACCCACTTATTGACCCTATACGGTCAGCCCGAACGGGTCCCTGCGAACGCTCAATGATGAAAAGTTGTACATATGCTTTTAGTTGCACACCACTTGTTCCATACCGGCAGCCTTGAGCTGAAGAGAGATTCTGGGTTAGTTTAACAAGAACTGAGAAGAGAGATGGAGTATTTTTTTTCACTAACCAGGTCAGGAAATCAGGGGGGCTGTGTCGGCAAATTAGTTTCAGTCTTGAGAAAAAAATGTGCGGTATACATAAACGGTTAGAAAGTTTGCTTACATGTTTTACTAGCGTTTACGTTGTCAACTTTTGGCCAGGGTTGTGATGCAGTGCGACATTAAAAGTGCTGATTGTAATGGGGTTAGGAAATGTCGACAGTCGATATGTCGATATGTCGATATTAACATTATATTAGCATGATATATGAATATTAATATGTTTCGTAATAATGGAAGACTTTTCAAACGTTATTGTAAATGGCATACTGTATTCATCTTGGGCGTCGTGATGATCAAACACTACATTGTTTGAATGTTTCATTCTCTGGTTTCAAATAGTTTGAAAAAAGTAGGCTTGCAGAGAACAGCAAATTTATCCAATGACATCATTTATGAGCTAACCGGCGTAAAATATTAGAGATGGATAATCGTGCTGGTTTTGATCAGTGGCTCTAAATCGTTGGGCTAATTCGCACATCACCTGATTGCGACAGGAAGTTTCCAGCTCATACAATGGCTAAAAATACATCAGCTGTAAATATCTAGCGAATCATGTTTAAAGCAGGAACAGAATGATAAAATGTCCTTGAACGTTCTATAACTTGCATGTTTTTTTTCTTGCAGTGTCTTACATAATAATGTATGGTAACGATCGCACATTCTTTTGACAAAGGAGATCGACGCATTAAACAGTGACAGTCAATAGCGATAGTAATGGCGACAGTCACTGCCACAATCACAGCGATAGCGATTGTAATGGTATTAGTAGTAATAGCAGTGTAGTGATGGAATATGCACCACAAAACAAAGCCAGTCTTGTTAAAATGAAATGCCCAGCTAAGCATCATTTGCATGTATCGACATCAGGGCCGCGGTAGTCTCGAACCAGTCAAATTCATGGGGTGAGAATGAGTCACCAATTATGACTGTGTTACGTTGGTATGAACAATATGCAAAGCAATATTAATATGAGCTTCTCGCCATTGTTCGCTGGGGACCCGGGCCGTTTGTACGATATTCCCCGCAGCAAGGGGATAATAGAGCTTTCAAATTGTTACCCATTTGTATTTGCAACCCATACGATTTTGCCATGATATTTAGAATGGTGTAATTATTTGAATTGTTGTGCTGTGCTGCTATTTTGAGAGCCAAACTTCCCATCAGCTACCACTAGTCCTGAGCCTCACACACACTGATATTAATAATCTAACGCAATATAATAGGTATATTGTGTATTATGGTATGACATTATTCGCATAGTTATATGCTCGTTCGGCCGCTTGTGACGATAAAAATAGGTTTGCGGTCTTTTAGTGACGCCATTGGGGGATTTATAATGGTTTATAATACTATTAAATAATATTAATGTAACTATCCAAAAGCGCCTAATGAATTTTCCGTCTAAACCAAAATTGATTGTGTTGCCTGTGTTGCCTGTGCTAACCCCAAAATTCCCACGTTGTATAAAAAAAGGTGATTATATAATTAATGTTTCAATTGTCATTAAATAAAAGCACTTGCATCAATATAAATAATCGTATATAAATACCCTTTCTCGACTCACTTCTCATACAAGCACTACTTTTTGTATCTGTATCGACGTTATAAGTATTTAACACCTCAACAACAAAGAAGAACAACACAACAACACAACAATAACACAATAATAACAAGAACAACAAGAACAACAGCGACCGAAACTCAAACTCAAACTCTTTCAAAAATCACAAACCAAAAAATGGCCTTCTCTACATATCCACACGCTAACGCTTACGGACAGAACCTTCGTGGGTTCAATGCGTTTGTACCAAATGCGTTCGGGGCTGACCCCGCTCAGATGGAACGATATTACAACCAAATATATATCTACGGGCCTGATCCTCGTTTTCCTATTTCTGCCGCAATGATTGCCGGAGCTGCAGCCTTCAAGGTTCGTAGAGAGAGCGTGTGTTTGTTTATGTGCGGTTGATAACAATGATTATGTCATTGCATTTCAGCGTCGGACAGTATTTTCTTACCGACGTATTTCTTCTCTTTTTCTCTTTAGGCTGTCCGAACCTACCAAGATCAATCCGGGATGAAGCTCCCAAATAATCACGATTACAATATCAATGCTATTCGCACAATTGCAGCCAGAGAAGCAGATATGCTTCTAAGACAATTCCCGTTACCGGATGTGGATCCCACAATTATCCTGCTGTCGGCAGAAGCTGGGGCTCATCGTTTATATGATCAGGAGCACTACATCCCCTCATAATACCAACATTTTACTTATAATAGAATAAGACTGCTAGTTTCAGACTTTGTATCATCCAATCACTGTTCCTGTAAATAGTTTCGATCATTGCTTTAATGTATCATTAATTAAGAATGAAATAAGAAACATTTTAATTGTTTAAAATGATTTAGCAGTTGTCTCGTACTTTATTCTCATAATCGAAGTTTTTAATATTAAACGCATTATTAACCCGTCTTTCTCTACATTTGTCTCGAGTAATTATTCTCTTTTCTTTTCACTAGATAGCAATGATAAGAGTCATTCAAAATAAAGTTTGGAATTGAGTCTAGGATCTGAACGAAATTAGGCAATGTTTCCCTTTAATGTTACATTGACATACAGATTTATTTGTACATCCCTTATGCCAACATTTGTTCACCTACCAGCGTGAAAATCGACACCATTATTGCATCTTTGTTGTCTCTTCTTTATCAATGCTTTGAGCAAATAGGTAGCACATGCCCATGTGTTACATATAATATGTATTATAACAGAGTCTATTGTAAACAAATACCGGATAACATTCTCTTTCTTTCATTCTCTCTCTCCTTCTCTCTCTATCGTATATATCTATATTGGGACAATTACAGTAAAGGGCGTAATTCAGAAACAAGTATAATCCCTCTATGTTTCGTTATTGTAATTAGTTATTATTATACACATACGGCTCGAACCGAGATTTATTCCAGTTTAGCCCTAGTTTGTACCACAACAGGATAGACCAGTTCGGGAATTGGTGTATTTCAAAATATGTGGTCTATGAAGGGGGGAAGAAGGGAGAATGCCGAATAGAAGAAACTACCTGATCACCAACCTGACTGGGATGCGTGGGAAAGAAATTGGGGGGCGTGAGCCAAAATTGTCGTAACAAAGTGAGCGCAGAACCAAATGCTTTGTATAAAGAAATAAGGCAATTAATACGTCATTCAAGAACCTTTGAGCGATTATTGTATTAGTGTGTTACGTTTTCCAGTCAGTTCACGTAAGTGACTGGTCCAAACTACGGATAAAGTAGTGTTTGTCATCCGATTATTCAGTAGTACACAAGTCAGATAATCCATAACAAAGGAAATTGGTTGCCAGTAAGTAATGCTGAGTCATAATCATACAATCGTATTATTGTGAGCAGACTATTGTCCTGAAGGCATTCATTCTTCACTCGTTTTCAGATAAAGCCATACAATGCAACATCATTAACAGGTTCAAATCATGTTACTTGAAATGATGGGGCTGGCATAAGCAATAGGAAAGATTTTATTCGGTGGAAAGTCCCCTCCCCCCTCGTGTGATTAATGTCAATGGTTAAAAGAGTCTTGAGAGGTAACTAAATTGATCCCAATATAATGCTAATTTCGAATTAGTCCTTCCTCATGTTAGATAATGTAGTAAAATCACATATGTCGTAACGAGATCGATTGACAGTTGTATTCAACCATCAAAACGTCTATGGACATTGACCGCGCAACGTCAATTTCAGAATATCCTATATTTTTTTTCAAGTAGACGGGATGGGGGAATGGTAACTACATCATCTTATACGAGTATTCCCAACACGGGTGTATTTCTTACGGACTTTGTTGAGACTTGAAGGGCACACATTTGTTAAATTGTGCCTGGAGAGGTTTATTAAAGAGAAATAAGGTGCACAAACTTTCTCACCAACAACGAAAATTTGAGGTATTTTGCATTTACAAAGAAACTTTCCTGAGAATTTTCAGGTCTTCAAATGTTTTAATTCATCATTAATATTGTTTCATTCAAATTTTTTTTCAGTTGTTAAAAGCGATTTGTTTCGTTCGCTTTCAATTTTACTGTACGTTGTTATGTGAACTTGCTTATTCGAAACAACTGTAGAAAGGAATTCGCTCACCCCATCCTTTGCCCGCTTATCGAGTTTATTCAAATCTGAAACTCGTTTCCCAATCTTGGACTATCATTTGACAAATTGCCGCATAATCAAAACTATCGAAATTAATCAGGACAGGACGCGATACGAGACAAATATCACGTGACAAATGACATGACCACAGAGGCAATTTCTCACTAAACGATGTGTGTGCAAAGGCCATGGATTGAAGTTAAGTAAGACTTTGTGAAATTAAGTTTAAGACACTTTGTTTATTGGTGCATAGGTTAATTAAGTGGACAGCGGCTAAATTACTTTGGATGAATTAAGGCCGACAATCTTGTGACATCTCTAATCATCAGCAATAATTGGTCTTCATATATTCTGTACCCAAGATAAGACGCAATAGATGGATAAATTCATTTAGAGTTAGGATCCAGAAGATAAAAGTGTGCCCAATAAGAATTGAAACTTCGGCATTTTTAGCCGTCATTTTTGCCAAATTGATTATTTCTTTATATAGGTATTGGCTCTTGTATGTATAGGAATTGATATACGGCTTAGCAAAACCAACGGTAAAAATACACTGCATTCGTTGAGAGTAACGGTAATTATCGCTTCTGACCACGTAAAAAAATTCACCCTTTGAATAAAAGTATCCTATATGCTCAAAATTGTATGCTCATAGGTGAAAATTCTTTTCCGCAAGCAATATAAATAGTCTAACATCAACGTTGGTGCTAGAGAAGATAAACTCATTAACCAACGTTCTATTTAATTCATTGCCTGTAACAAATTATCAACGATGGGCTGATGCAGTAAGGGTTGTCGACACGGAAAATATCTACGTGTTTTAAAAATAATGGCGACTAGGCATGCGCAAATGCGAATATATATACAGGTTTCTCCATCCGTTCCAACACGTCATTCTACGCGTTTCATTCTCCTCACAATAAGTTTTTTTTTAGTAGCTAGTGTTAAACCATGCAAATGTGGCTTGAAACTAGCCTTACTTATCGAAAACATGTTGACAGACTGGGATCTTCTTGCGACACGATAATTTAAAACTCGTTCATAAGATTGTGCAACTAGAGTGGGTGATAAAATCTGTTCTCTTATTCTCTTGTTAGTGGATAATCTAGGTAATTTCTTGCCGTAAATTTCCTTCCTCCAAACATATTGTTAACTTGCTACTGGCACTCTCCTTGGCGATATTCGTACGAATATTCGAGCCGGGTGATGTCAGAAATACGAAAACTGAGTGATGATATTAATATAGATAACAATGACTTTGAAAAAAAAAGCTACATTTGTGTTAGTAATCAAAAGATTCACTGCAGGATGGAACGAGATTCCACGGTGAAAACGGCTCGAGAATTATTATCAAAATTTGAGGGAAATCTATATGACAAGCTTTGATGCTTTATAGTACATTTGGTTGTATAAGCCTCTGAGCTTGTCCAGCTTGTCAATAGCCAAGCATTATTTCTGATGAGTGAACTAAAATTTATTTGCATAAAAACTAATACTAAAGACGTTAATGAGAATTGCATGGTTCAATATTAACTGCATTGAGTTTATCATGACGTCAAGAATTAAAATGCGATTGTGGTTTCAGATGTGATTTGTCGAGTCAACAATCGCGAGAGAGCAATCGATCGCTTATCTTCAGGCGGAGCTGTGGCTTCTCCTGTTTTAGTTAGATATAACGACAGTTAGGACCTTTAAGCTCAACCTATAGGCTTCCGAATCAATCCCATCGAAAGGGAATACACAGCACTTGAAGGGCGCGAATAACCGCCTCTACACCGATCGACACCAGGTCGTGAGTAGTAAAATCCGGGTATACCGCCGCATTGGTTCTAGTATCCCTCTAGTATTCGACTCTAGTATAGTACCTTGCTTAGTACCGGGTCTTATACTAGCCATTCTAGTAAAGTACAACAAAGGTTATTAATCTAATTCATTTGCTATAAATCGCCACGAAAAATATATTTTGACAGTAAGACTGATTTCTAACACATCTATTAATCATCCTCTTATACCGCAATGGTACCCAACTTTTTATGTCAAGAGGACTTAAAACTAATGCTTACGCTTGCCAAACCTAGTTATTTTATGGCGATTTTCGAATAGGCAAACATTTTTGTCACATTTGAGTTATCAACTACTCTGCTTCTTCCTCTGTAATTATCACATCACTTCTGTCGTTATTGATAAATTGATGACTAAATTGATTCCCGTAACATTTTTATCATATGCCCCATGCACTCCTCCTCACACAGTACAGTAAGCTTGTATTTGTTCAAACGTACTCTCATCTTAGGGGACAAGAAACGAACATTTCTAATTGATATAGGGATTAGTGGTTTCACAACTATACTGACAATTTGCCAGGGAACGAATCATTAATAATGTATAGACTACTCGTTTATTAGAAACATTTATAATAATGAAGGAATCGAAAGTAATTGAACACACACACACGCACTGAATCTAGCTGACATGTACACTTATGCGATTGCTGACCGATCGAATATTCACCGGAGAGTTAGGGAGGAATATACGTCATAATTAATATTAGTTTCCACAGATTCATAACTCAAATGTGTGTCTGAAGAAGAGACAATTTCATTGCAAAAAGCAGGTCCACCTTAGCTGTGCTTAATAAAGGACACAGGATGTTACCCGATCATAAAGGTCTAAGGGAGAGGACACATTGAATATGGAAAAAACCCCAGATGGTTCTGAACGGGGATGAATATGAGCTTGAGAAGTATATAATATGACATTTTAAGGCTTCTTGTTTTCACAATACGCGTAGTTCCTTATATCAACTTGCATGGAAGAATTTATTTAAACCGGCTGATGGATAAAGTTCTGTATACATTCCACACATGATAATTTGTTAATTACGTAATTATCCGTCCGTCGTTTGACTGTCACCTGACGTTAGAGTACAAATGGGGGGATAATTACTAAAACAAACAAACATAAAATTTGAAACATGTAAACAAATGACACAGGGCGTCTATAATCGGCTGCACAACAAAAATATATTACGACGGCAAGCGCAATCTTGTCGTTGCAATAAAGGCACGTTATCCTCGGTCGTTTTGCGATCTAATATTGATACACAAAGTATTAGAGATAGCTTATGTCCATGTCGCCAGATATGCTGATATTAAGGACATATTAAGGAACAATACTTAAAGTGATGGACTTAATAAAATATACGTTCATTAAGGTTTCTGTCCTCTACATTTTGAGCCCTTGCTCGAACACATATACACCCCCAACCCCCCATCGAGTTTATTTGCATGTCGAACTTTTCCCAACATAGAACAATCCCATTATTGTTCTTCCAACATCAAAACAAGTCGACTAACTTGCTTTTGGAAATGATCATCGTAAGCAAGTGTTACATGTCGTGTCAATACAACAATCAACGTATACATTTCATTTTCTGAAATGTGATTTTTTTTTAATTAATTGCGTGTATGATAGATAGATCGATCAACCAGACGATACCGGATGTCAATCCAATCAAACACCACGCACCACTTGCTCGCTTCCAAAAAACTTGATAATTGCAGCACATGCGTACGCCGTCATTATAGCATCGATCATATAATAAATCGAATCGATTCAGAAAAGAGAAATAAAAGTATGAAACTGTACAATGTGTAAAAACTATGTAAAGAAGAAAACTGATAAACAAACGAAAAAAACAAACGAAAAAACAAACAAAAAAAAGAACAAAAAAAAAAGAACAAATAAATTCAGTATAGGTAGGCATCTGAAATCCTTAACCTATAGAAAACATCGCCAACGAGAACAGGAAAAAAATAATAATATTAATATTCCCACTCACTCGCCAAACAAAGTTTTATAATGTCCGCGGGAACGGCAAAGTTATTTTTGCTAAAAGAAATGAAATGAAAAGAAAAGAGAATCCAACATCATTACGACAAAAAAAAAAAAGCGAAATCCCTCTCCCCCACCTCCCCACCCAAAACCATCCCAAAAACAAAAAAGAAAAGAAAGAAAAGAGAAACATCATCTACAAAACATTTTATATAACATACCAACTATTATCTAGTATATGACTCATAGACTTGTAATCTTCTACCATTACTTCTGTATTACATTCTCATATATCCCGGCCCTCCATTGACGTGATTACTAATATGCGGCTGTACTTGTATGTGAGAAGATACGTTCACCGGTTGCTGTACTCCGTGTACATTTTGTATGGTATTCTGCATCATACCCATATTCATACCTATTGGTACTCCGTGAAGTGCTGTCATGCCTGCTTGGGAATGTGCGAGTGCTTCAATGCCTAAAACTCCATTTGCTTGAGCAATTGGACAATCCTTGTGCGCAAGAAGCAATGTCTTCAGATTAAGAATCTCTTCACGAAGAGATGTTGCTTGGCTCTGCAGCTGTTCATTCTCGTTAGTCAGATATTCGACCTTGGCTTGGAGGTTGGCAAGCCACTGTTTCTTACGTTGGCGGCATTTGAGGGCGGCTTAATGAGCAAAAAAAATTTAGTGAGACCATGCATAGGAAAGTCATATCCGTTGCATCGAACGGCCAACTACAATAACGGAAACCATGACAGATGCTAGTTATAATAATCATGCCTTGACGATTTCTCTCCAAAAAGTTTTTCCGTTTCTCTGCATCCGATAAATCATTTTTTGTCTTTTGATTACTCTTCTTCTGTGCAGGCTGATCCATAAGATCATCAGACGCTTTGCGGCGATGACTCGTCTTTGAATTCTTTGGTGAACTCGTATATAGATCGTTGGAATGGCCGTCGTCGCTTTCTTCTTCAGATGATGTGGTGTTGTGGTCTGTTGGGCTGGGTGGTCGAACGCCGTTTGTTTTAGACTTTGTCGATCTTGAGCGAGTAGATAGTGTCGTCGTCGAATTTGTCAGTGTGTTGGATCCGTAATCTTCCCTTTCTGTCTTTGTGGGTACTACGTCTTACCAAAAATAATGATCGTTGTCATCAGTTACAAAACGCTAAATTTCATGATATCAGTCTTCCACAAAGATTTTCACTCTGATCGCTTCTCAATTTGTCCTCCCGGTTGTTGCACGGATATCTGTCCTCAATACCGAAAATTTCCCCTCTTTGCCAACCCACTCACCTGTCGCACTCTCATCATTCATCTCAGGTCCATTCTGCGTATCAACGACGGACGCCCCACTCACATTAGACACAGCCTGAATGTTCGTGAACTTTGTTAGAGAGTGATAAACAAGTCCGCCAGTACGGTACTAATCCAACAAACGAATTGCGAAATGCTTACCTTGGGTCCGAACTGGCCAGCCATTAGTCCATTGCCAGGTTTCACTGTATTTGATGAATTGTTAAATGTTGATGTAAGAGCCATTGACTGTGCGCCAAAGAGAGCAGCCGATCGAGGGGATTGGTCAGCAAAAGATTGGAAACCGAGAGGAGTAGTACCGGTACGGGTATTTGTTGCTACGCCGAGGCCATCAAAGCTCTGAGGTCCTTCCAACATTGCGGGAGATAATGGACCGGTACGAAGTGATTGTAGATTCCAGCCATATCTTTCGGATGTACTTGTTCCTCCTGCTGCTGGACTGGTAATTTCTGCTACTGGAGGGAGGCTTGGTTTGGGACTGTTGGTGCCGGAGGTATCTCCTAGTGGAGTTATATGGGAGAAGCTTTGTTCGAATGGATTGGGCTCCAAGTCTAGTTTAGAACATCGGGCCAAGAATCTTGTGGGCGTTTGATCAGTTATTGTGTGTGGTGCATCCTTATTGTTGTCGTCTAGAAGACTTGGCGCCTTATATAAAATGTCTCGGCCGGAAATTGAATCGGTAGTAGACGAGATTTCCGTAGTTGTTGTCATATTATGAGAACTTTATATGCTATAGAGTGTTGTGGGGGAGGGGGCTGTGTGTGGTGAGTGAGGGTCTGTATGTGTATGTGTGCAAGTATGTGTGTAAGCAAGTAACGTAATGATAGTATTTGATAAGTATAGTAGTATCTACATCTACAGCTGTCAATAGAATTGGTATATACACTTTATAGTACAGATAAGCCGTCAAATTTTCGACTTGAAACTCGGTGGAAGGGTAAATGGTAATACCTTTGAAGTAAGAACAGAAAGAGTCTACTGCGGAAGAGTGTTGTTGGTCAGTGTGGTGAGTTAGCAGTTACGAGGGACGTATGAATATATTTGGGCTGTTAGCAGTGAGTTTGTTTGTTAGAGTTTCCCTTTTTCTCCAGGAAAGCTGTATTATGACGATGGGGGGAAGAAATCGGTGAAGGTTACCCAATTGATTATTGCAGATTGTTTGAGTTAATGTGTATTTTATGTTACCCATAAATTCTTTTATCTGCACTCCAACTTACATGACGAAATCCTTACGTCATAATTTCCATTTCAGGGTCACTTGATTTTCCCTCCCAACTATCCGCCAAAAAACGTTAATTCAAATGCTTGGGAGTACAGAATGGATAATGGGCAAAAAAATAAGAACGAGTGGGCTTAAAGGCTGAGTGTATTTTTATGTGTGTTGCATTACACATAAAAATATGCCTATATCTGAATCTCAGAATTGTAAATGGCATCTAGCAATTGAAAGGAACATATTTGTGTTTCATTCACTTTGTTTGCGATCTTTTTAATTTATCTTGTTTTGTTGGTTTCGCCAATTTTTTTTTACATCAATTCCAATCATATTATAATCTAAAAATCACGTAGCATCCCGGCAAGTGTAAATAATAAACAGAGTTAAAATAAGAAGAATAAAATAGGTTGCAAGACAGGCGAGTGCTAGTGTGAATAATTAAGCAAATGCGAACAGAACAAAGGTGATAAAAAGAAACGATTCAGGTAGATTACATTGACTATAACAGGAAGAGCAATTTGATAACATCAATTATTACTATTGTGATTGTGTTTAGCACATAAAACTGGTTTCCTTGCATCCTTTAAACTTTGTCTTACAATTATCATTCTATGTCTGAAGTAAAATCTTTTTTTTTTATATCTAGCCTACCATTCCTCCACATATCGAGCCATCATTATCGAATATAAAAATCATTGCCATGTCCATCTGTACTCTGATTCTGTTGATGTATATATTGTAAACCTGGCGATGTGGACGGCGCGTACATTGGAGTCGAAGACGATGGTGACAATGTCATTGGTCGATTCGCATTCAAAGCATTGGTCAACGGAGATGGTGCAATTGGAATATATTGTCGCGTTGACAACGTAGGCGATGTGGCCCCATTCGATGTAGAACCAGTTGGTGATAGTATGTGTTGAAGTGGCGGCTGCAAAGATGGTGGTGGTGTAGTTGGCAAAGTGAGTGTTGACTGTGGTGTAGACGGTTGCATTGGACTATAATTTAGATACTGGCTTCTATATGAAGGATAAAGTGGTTGATATAGCTGTGAGAAAGATGTATTGGATTCGTGCATTTCTGTATTGGAAAGTGAGCTTGGAGTTGGAGTTGAGGGCGGCGCTGGTGTCGAGGAGGCTGATGAACGACCTGATAGTTCGAGTAACCCTCGTATGCTGGGCAAATTTAACCCTTCGGATGGATGTTTTGAGTTTTTGTTCGTAGCATTATTCGTCATTGATTGTGATGGTGACGGAGAAAGTGCATTAGCCACAGGTTGCGTAATTGATTGGCTTATTGATAAACCATTCTGTGGACTAGGGTATGCTGCTCTGTAGTTGGTCACGTTATTATATGCGTACGAATGTGCATTTGCGTTTTTGATATGAGTCTCATTCGGTTCATTTATCACGCGAGAAGATAAATATGTCGAAGCAATTGGTATTGTTGGTGATATGCTATCGTGGCTAGTTGGCGGTGTCATACTGTCATTTGAATGAAGGTGTGATTGGTGTGAGTTGTAGGCCGTTGATCGATTACTTTCGGTCTTTACAATTTTCTGAGGCGACTGTAGTGCCTCGTTAGAGGAAATAGACGATCTTTTCCTGCCATTGCTCTTTGTACTTTTTTCCGCGTTCTGCATCGATGATACTACTATGGACGCCTCATGCATATCCGTATCCATATTTGACTCATTATCCTCAACATCGGAGATATTGTTATTGCAAGCTTGTACATTGTTGGTATGTATCGGAAACTGGTGTATTGATGTTGTTGGTGTCATCATTTCATCCCCATCCATTTCGCTCTTTAAAGAAGAAAAGTAATCCGAAACCACCGGAGACCCCAGAGCAGCAGAAGTGAAGTTTGCAGTGGATGCTGAGCGCGTTGTATCATCACGGCTGGTGACATCAACAGTTGGCGTATTCAGGTTGAGCCATCTCGTCACTCTGTATGCATTCTCTACAGCTGGAGATTCTGTCTTAATATCTTTCCCAAAGATACGATACAGATGCTGTGGCAAAGAGAATAACAAGATAAGCAAAGTGTTACCGTATAATATAACGACAGTTTAGGCATTTCTTACCTTTCCAGCCAAAGCCTCTAATTCTCTACGCCGTATCGCGTTCTCTTTCGCATCTCCATTGCGATATTTCTGCCATTTTGTAAGGATATCATTTATCCTCGTTGATATTAGTGTCTTGATATGGTGTTTAGTAATTGCCAATGATCTAAAGTCTTGTTCTATGGTTTTATCAAACTAATTGAAACGGAAATAACGTTGACTTGGTGGGATCGAAGGTATTTGTGATAAACATTCCTATTACTGGTTTTAATTAATTACCTGTAGTACGCTCTTTTTTAAGAAATTAATCAAGAAGGATTCATATTCCGAATCTACGAAAATTCTCTGTACATTTTTATTGTCACAGTCGACGAGTTGTTGCGAGTACACTTGCTTTGATTCTCGCAAAGTGTTCTGAGAACGGAAGGGGAGGGGAGAGGGCATACGATAAGCATAAATATGTGACGTATAAAAAAGTTATATCCATACGTGTAGGGTAGGGTGATGTTGCATTGCAAGTCACTAAAATACATACCATCATTGTACACGTCATCTGTTGCATTATTCTTGGAGACATATAAGCTTGTCTTTGTACTGTATATGATACTCTATGAATGGTGTCATTTTCAGTTCCCTTCCCTTTCCCCGATCTACTCGTCTTGTATGGAGGGAAATTATTATGGGAATTGCTTGCATATGAATGTAAACCATTTGCGCCGCTCGTTCTGAAGATATGCATCCCATATGCCGGATTAATAGACGCATAAGCGCCCAAGCCAGATTCAGGACGTATTCTGGTAGATACAGAAACAATCAAACCAATGCTATTCGGAGACTGACGAGTATGTCAGTCACATGTAGAGAGGTAATTATTAGCAAACGGTAACTACGAGAACCGAATAACAGATCAGATCAATTCCTCAAATTATCAGTAAAATGTAATACCTGTAACTGTATTGATTGCTGCTTCCTAATATCTCTATCAACCGGAATTGATTTATGGCTATTTGGGAGATTACTGTAACGACACCACGAAAAGTTTAGAATCAGAAAATTTTGAAACACGTATATATAATATATAACACACGTAAATGCTAATAAATGAAAATTCAATTGGACGAAATTAAAAACGTAGTGTGGTGGTATACTGTGAAAACTAGCACATAATGTACTGATGATTGCTATCTGATAACGTATACATATCTCCATTCATCATTATATATTATATATAGGGTATATACCTTCGATACCATCCAACTAGACGGTATCCCATTTCAGCGAAAGTCTTTACTGCCTCATCCAACGCTGCCTCAACTTCTCGAACTGTGGTAGTCAACATAGACACGACATTCCTACGCCAAAACGACACGATTATTGCTAAACGGTAAGTGCATAAGTTTGCATATCCATTCAACCCCAAATTTACCTCTCAGATGCAACAAAATGATTTATGCGACAAACTATAGCTTCGTTGTCATTCGAATCAGCGTCAAACCTTCCTCCCAAATATCCCATGACTTCATGTTTATAATCTGAAAATGCGCAATCCAAAAGAGCAGAAACTACTGACTCGTCAATTATCACACGAAATTTACTACAAAACCATATATACACACATTATTCAGATTCAATATTCAAAATAAACATGACTGGCAAGCGGCGGCTGTGTATGTCAACAACATAAACAGTCTTATGTAGAACTACTGCATTGCTACTCCCCTTACATACTACTACTTACTACTATGCAAAGCTTTTACTCTTCTATATTGCCATCCCAATTAACAAGGTCTTAGTGTAGGACCACTCACAATGTAACAACTGAGAAGTTCGTGCTTACCCAACTGGGTCATCCACTCTATTGTTTATGTCTGCTGCCACCTTCTTGGTACCATTCCGTCTGGGTGTGGGCGAAATGGGACCAGAGGCTCGATCTCCAGTCATGGACAGCCGCCTAGCTCTGGGTTTACTCGTCTGAATGTTAGGGGGCTGCAAGGAAGCCGAAACGATCTGCTCTACTTGAGACACATTTGGCATTTTCGACGGCGACTGTGATTTTGTCTTGGTTGTGGCAGGCGTTACTTTAGCATCACCTAATTGAGGTTGCATCGGTATACGAGCGGTGAAAAGCGAGCAAGACGGAAACTATTTCCACTGTATTATATAAGTGTTTGATACCAGTATATAAAGAAGTACTATACGATCTGGTCAGATCTAAGATTAGAATAGTATTATACGGCGCTTCTTCTATTATGTGGGAAAGTGAGCAAACGAGAACACGATCGAACACCGATCGTGACGAAGAGCAAACGATCGCTATAGGTACGTTACTAATAGGTAATCAGAAGACGAGCGAGTAGTGGAAGAGCGTAGAAGACGAGTTGGAAGGTGGAAGAAGGAACAGTTACAGGTCTAGTTGGGCTTTCATGCTTCAGCCAATCATATTGGATACGCTGTGACTCGAGGAAGGGAACAAACAACTGAACAGCGACACAGCCTGAATTGGACAAGTCATCCAATCGATCACGGGATCACACTTGTTACATTGTACTGCGGATACTTTCGAAAAAAAAAAGTTACATGATAATTTGACAACAACTTATCCTTTCGCTGACAAGAGATCTACCCCGCATTCTTCAAAGATCGACAATATAAATTTACTTTTTGATAATGAAATAACGTTATCTCACAATAACTGAATGCATATTATCATTCCATATTCGATATAACTATAACTATATATATATAAAAAAAGGAAATAAAGTGTCCCTTGAGGGTAATAATTGTTCGTTTTGGACGAAAGGTGGATGTTTGTCTCTTGGATGAATGATTGGCTCTTGATAAATGCATATATTTGCTCACGCGGTTCCAAGACTAGGGAAAGCCCTTTGGTCATTGAGGTTGACACCGTCATTTCGACCGCGACGATTTTCTCTGTATCCATCACGATTGTCACGGCCTTCTCTGTATCCATCACGATTGTCACGGCCTTCTCTGTATCCATCACGATTATCACGGCCTTCTCTGTATCCATCACGATTGTCACGGCGTTCTCTGTTGCCGTCCCTTCCATTTCGTCCACGACCTCTACCTCTTTGAGATCCGCCACTAGGTCTCTCAAACGCTTGTTCGATTTCGATATATTCCTTTTTGGTCTTGGTCTTATCCTTACTCTTCAATTTATAAGATGTTTCCTGTTGATGGCAAAAAGTATTTTATTAATGCAAACGTACATATTAACACGTCATGGCCGAAATCCAGTATTTTCTGTAAAAAGAATTTAACAATTACCTTGCCAGCGAACAATACATCCTCTTCGTCATCGCGCTCAAGAGGAACAGCGTCCCTCCATTGCGAATCGTCAGCTCCCTCATTGGGCTTCCTAGGTTCGGGAAGCGCTACACTTAAACCTCTTTGAGCACGTTCGGCAAGATATTCATCCAAAGTCTTTTGCACTATCTCAACAGGAGCTTGTACCGCATCAATGGAGTAACCACCATCGTCATCGTTATCCTTGTTGTCGCCACTTTTCCAATCAACATTATCCGTGCTCAAATCATCCAAGGAGATATCAGGATTCCAGGTATTATCATCCTTGGCGCCATCTTCTCCATCATTCCAACCACCGGCCTCATTTGGGGCAGAAGCTTCATTGCCAGCATCCCACGTCCCTCCATTAGCAGCGTCATCATTCGCGGTCCAGGAACTTTCTTCCGGTCCACCAGTATCATTTCCCCACTTTCCTGGTTCATTTGATTCGGATGGCCACGCACTACTAGTAGGATCTCCCCATGCTTGCGAATCTTTCTTCCCGCTATCCCTGTAAAAAGAATAATCAAAGTTATACTTTCAGACTCTGAAATATTATAATTCGTTTCAGTGTTTTACATACTCTCTGCCAGTTCCGCTGTGACGGTCGTATTCACGCCCACGTCGCCCACCACGACCGCCGCGAGAACGTTCACCGGCACGGGCTCCGCGAGCATTACGAGGAGGATAGTCAGAACCGCCGCTTCCTTCGTCTTGATTACGACGACCAGAGAGACGAGGGCCAACATTGCGGTCACGAGGTCCTTCAAAAAGCAAACATTGAGTTTTAATGTAGCCGAAAAAGATATGTGGTTCGATTGACAATATTATTATGTATAATTTGTGTACTCATCGAAATAACGACAACGGTATAACAACAATTATATGTCTGTCATCAACTTCAACGGCATTGATACGATCAAAGCCTTTATACATAGCCTTTATGAACACGCGAGAATATACGCTAGCAAATGCCTTCACCCCAAACGCAAAAACAATACATTTCCACTAACCTGATCTAACTTCGTCGTTGCCCCTCGTGGAAGCAGCAGCCCTGGGGGCACCACCACGCTGAGGATAGTCGTGACGAATTCTAGCCTCGGTCTTGCTAGCACGAGACCTATCTACTTTCTTAGAAACAACTACCTCCTCTTTCGACAGCTCAGAGGCAGTTTCCTGCGTCTGGTCCTCGACATCGGCCAAAATGCCGAATGTGTTCTGACTTGCGACACTGGTCATTATGTATTGTTGGATGGATGACAATACACGATTGTCGCGCTCTTGGATGACTTGTATGTTCTGTTTAGCAATGGGGGATGAGCGGAAAAAAGAGAAGAATGTGGTGGACCCGACCAATCAGAAATCACTTTTCTATTACGTAATAATGCCAAGATAACATCCGCACCTAATAATTGTTATGTAATACGAACAAGCGAGAATGTTTACTTTCAAATCGCGTGCAGAAACATTTTTTCAACTTTCGCGTATTAATATGCCTATCAAACGGAGAACACTTTCCACAGCCGCATCCAAGCTTAATAGCGGTGCGAAAACAGTGCGCGACGTCTTTGAACCACCAGTTGATACAGAGAAAGAGTCGCGTCCTACCAAAAAGACTAAAATTTCAGCTGGGGCTCAAAAGTCAACCAACAATAGCGTCAAGGACGTTAAGAAAAAGTCTATCAGTAAAAAAGTCGAGGCAGAAGATAATGAAAGAGACTGTGGAGAAGACATGGAAGCTGAGGCTGAGAACAAAGCTAGCACAAACAACAGCTCTGGTCCAACCAATACTTCTATGCCAGCTACTTTGTCTTTTCAAAAGAAACAGGAGGACACTATTAAGTTTGCTTCCTGGAATGTTAGCGGTTTGGCTGCAGCCGTAAAGAAGGTAACAATGGACAAAAATAATAATTTAATTAATATCCATGGGCATATAGATAATATTGTTTAATAACAGGGTTTTGACACGTATGCGAGTGCTGAAGATGCAGATATTTTATGCTTACAAGAGACCAAAGTGAGGGAGCCGCTGGATATAAGCGCTATCGTTGATAGATATCCTCACAGATGGTGGGCAATTGGCGACAAGAAAGGATACGGTACAGACTCGCTGTATTTTTTTGATATGAATAAAAGTTTGCAACACTAATGATCTGTTAAATGGGCAGGTGGTGTAGCTGTATTCTCAAAAATCGAACCAATTTCCGTGACTTACGGAGTCCCGACTCATTCAGACGTAGACTACACAAAAAGTAGAGTTATCACGCTGGAATTTTCCAACTTTTATTATGTTGCGTGTTATATCCCTAATTCGGGTACTAAACTGAAGAATTTGGCCGAGAGAATGGATTGGGATATTGCAATGGATAAATATTTGAGGCAATTAGATGAAAAGAAGCCTTTAATCTGGGCTGGGTAAGTCTCTTGTCTCTTCGAATATAGCTTGGCACATTATAACCGACTAACTAACAAAAGTTAAATTTCTGTATTCAATTGCCCTACGGAACTTTTCAAACGCGTCTGTAGTGATTTGAATGTTGCACATACAAAGATTGACTTGGCGAGACCGTCATCCAATTCCAAGTAATATTTAATTGTCAATAATGTGATCTCGTAATGCATCATGTACTTACTAACTTGTATTTGAACAGGACAGCAGGCTTTACAGCAGAAGAACGAGCTGACTTTGAAAAGCTTTTGAATGGTGGTGTGCAAAGGTTCGTTGATACATGGCGCCATTTCCATCAAGAGACCAAGGGAGTGTATACATACTATTCGTATAGATACCATTGCCGTACCAAGGGTATTGGATGGCGATTAGACTATCATGTAGTAAGCGAACGCTTACTCGATAGGGTTCTGCAGAGCGAGATCAGGTAATCAAACTATAAGAGATATTTGGATACACTCACATCAATGGTTCACTGCTGACATGCTTGATATCTTGAATTTTATAGGAGCGAGTGCTATGGTGCTAGTGATCATGTTCCGATCGTCATGATTTTAAAAGCTTAATTTTTGTTTGTTGATTGTATACTTGTTCTAGTACATAATTAGCAGCAGTAATAATAAAGAACACTTACATATACATTTCAATTGCTAATGCAGTCATTGTATACACTTTCAATTACCATTTACAAATAATCTACACAATACAATTATAGACGGATTAAACACACCCAATAAACCTTCATGCAATGTCCATTTACAATAATTATTGTATTCACCGATTGTTCATGAATATCTTTCATACATTCATGGCCAATATTTAGAATAAGTTACCCATCAAGCAATATAAAAGTTAATATCTTCAAATATCTTCAAAGTCATCATCGCCGCCATTGACAGCTTGCACAACAAACATCAATAGATTGGCTGTGAAATGCATCGAAAATCCATTGTATAAACCACGAATTCCATAATTATCTAACCAACTCGTCTGCTTTCGTTGTAAGTGACGTTTCGGAGCATTACCACGCTTGGGCATCATCTTCCTCTGGCTTATACCCTCTTCGACGATAATTCTATATCCACAGTCCAGCATACCAACGTATGGTGCTTGGCGTGTCTGTACAACGGTCTCTAATCTTCTTCCAGGCACACGAGATCGTATTTGACAGTGCAGTCTCTTACGAATCGTATCGACCGGAAGAGTAATTATCAGTTGAACAGTGTTGAGTAACAGTTGGACGGCTCCATAAAGAAGGGGTGAATCACTAGCTGATATGTGGAAAATGCGGTCAATTAAAATTGGAATAGTGTTTTCTAAGAGTGGGTCAATGGTATGATAGACAATAGAAGGAAGAAGGTTATGGCCCCAGTATAATGAGGATAAACCTTCCTCTTTTATCATCTGGCAAAGACAATCAAAGAGTCCTTTATATTTCCTCTGACTTGGAGATGATGTCTGGACTATGAGCCTAAAAATTAACAGTAACATTGACATAATGTGAATATAAATCAAAGCTTGCTAAGGTGATACACCGATTAATAATACTTTGATATAAATAATGCAACCATTTTTGCTATGAACCGACAATGTACCTTGTCCTAGCCACCTCTAATGGACTCAACAGTACACCAACGACTATATGACTAGCAACAAGTGTAGCAAGATTAGGGCCGACTTTGTCCAAATAGACTAATGGGATTGTATCATCATACAGATCGAATGCATCATTTAAGATTCCTTCGATGGTAGGTTGAAGAAAGAGATGTGCCATATCATACAGCCAGCCAGTGAATTGTCCTTAAAAGAGGAGATAGTGATACAGTGATGCAGTCATAAATATTAACACGCTTCACTAGAACCTAATTAAAGGATTACCAATTTGTTTGACTAGTAAACTCCTTACCTTTCCACATGGATTTCCAACCTTCTGTTTTGTGTTTCGTTAGAATGCTTATGGTACCCCATACACCATCATCTAATGGCTGTAACATGTAAGCAGGTCTTGTTGACTCATCATATATGGTTGTGTTTAACAGATATCCTTGTTTATCTGATGTCTTTCTCTTTCTAAATGCTGGTGAAGTTGGATCAAGCTGTGGCTTCATAGATCTGCCTGACTGATCAAAATCGGACAAGTTTTCATCTGAAGACTAGAATAAGACAAGAGCCCTTTAGCTATACAAATGTTCTCGACATAAGAATATAATTAAAAGCTCCATATTTGTTTACAATCATCATGGACATACCTCTTCATCAGACTCCAGATTGTTTTCACGAACAACGGGCACAACGTCTTCATTAGGCAGATACTGCACTTGCAACAAAGTCTTTGATACTTCAAATGGGTTGGATATTGCCGTGCTAACGTATTTAACCAAAGCAAAACTGCCTAATTCCTTCAGGGCACTGTGAGTCTCTTCGTCAACTAGCTTATTTTGTTCTAATTGATTATTGGCTATAGCATTAGAACCAGGTGTATAATAATAATCTACATTTGGAGGTACGTAATATGGTCGAAGGGGATGTACGATTTTCGATTGAGGAAAGGGCGTATAAGTGTATTTTGGAGAAGGAGAGGGATCGGACGCAGAAGACATGACGTTGAGTACTCGTGAGTTGAACCAGTCAAGAGTACCAATTAAAGAGGGAGTTTATCGCAAGCAACAGTGTTTGAAAGGACAAATGGTCCAAAAGTATCCCCACAGCAATAAAACTTGACAATAACCGCGCGATTGATTGATTTTATTTTATTTGATGGTTTGATTTGATTTTTTATAATATGTAGTTACGAGCCACAACATACTCTTTGGTGACGTCATCGATTCTCTCGTAGTAGATAAAATATTTTCGATATTGATTACATTGATTGCATTCACGTCCATAGATAAAAGCGACTGCACTAGAATTGGTGTGTTTAGCCTTCTAATCGTCTATATTAATATGAGGTTTATTTGGATAAAACAACCCAAATATCGTGTCAAGGTTTTTAAAGGAGGAATTCTGGATCTACTAGTAATCCTTGAGTTTGCAAACGGGCTTATTTATTTATTGAATCATCTTGTCCACAAGTTGAATCGCGATTGTGGTAAATACAGTATTGATGGTGATGGTAGCTTTAACAATGTAAATTTCGAAAAAGTTGAACCCGCGTTGCACAATTCAACCCATGTGATTTGATAAAATAGTCTTTGCTGCGCTTGGTATCTGCACGTTTAATAAAACGAGTCTAATCTTTATACATCAAATACCAATACCATGGGGAAGAAAAAGAAGAAACAAGTCGTCGTACGTCCCTGGTGCTGGTAAGTTCTCCCCACTAGAGCAAAGCAAGTGGCCAGTCGAGATCACTCTGTCTCGTGTTTTGCGAAAACTCTTTTGCTTATTGCATGTGACTTTTTTCCTGTACAAGGTACTGTGAAAGAGATTTTGAGGATGAAAAAGTACTCATACAACATCAAAAGGCAAAACATTTCAAATGCCCACATTGCAGCAAAAAGCTAAATACTGCTGGTGGTATGGTGGTTCATGTAGCTCAAGTTCATAAAGAAACCATTACAGTGTAAGGATCAGTCTCCTGACTTTATTATCTGTTTATATTCACTGTTCATTATCATCATATGTAATACAACACCCTCTCCTATTAGTCAAGGCTAACACAAGTACATTCAAAGGCCAGTGTGTCATGTGTTGTCATTTCTTTTAATTTCCAACCTTATTTCTCATCTTAATCTTTATCTTTCATCTACCATATCTGTTTATTGCACCCTTGTTAATTATTTAAACAGGGTTCCGAATGCGATTCGAGGAAGAGAGTCGACTGATGTAGAGATCTTTGGGATGGAAGGTATTCCTCCCGAAGATGTCATTGCTCATCAAGCTTCATTAGAAGTAGAGAGCGGACATGTAGTGAAGAAACTGAGAACAGACAGTATAGATGGGTCAGACTTATCAGAAGGGAAACAATTGACGCAGCACCAGGCCATGATGCAAAATCCATCAAACGCGTACTCTTATGGTACATATCCAGGATACCCGGCACAGCAGACAGCGTCGTTAATGCCCCATCAATACAGTCAATTTTATCAGCGACCCGGTGTACCACCTACTCAGCCATATTCACAAGCATATCCATATCGACCATCGTAAGTAGTCTTTTGTATTGAAGCAGTTGCTGGTTTACATAATTTAATTCAATTTTGATTCATTGCAAATCCTTGTCTCTGCCCCTTAGCGGTCCGTCTGGTACACCACCGGCAGCAGCAGGCTGGCGTCCACCAGTCGGAGGAGGACCAGCAGCAGCATCTTACGGTAATATGCCGCCTTACAATCCGTCAGGAGCAAATCCACAAACTGCTTTCAATGGCATGCAATCCTACGGCCGACCTGCTACTCCCACTACATCTGTGACATCTCCTGTGGATGGTACCTATCCTCAATATGTAACTACAACTTCGCCACAAGCAGCTTACCAACAAACAGGGACAGCTATGGCGATGTCAAATGGTGTAGGTATGGATGATAGTGGAGCTGCGATATCGATAGAACAAGGTCAGTCCGTTGCAGGCCAGCAACAACAGGGACAGCAACAGCAAACTCAGAAGAAGCCTACAGCAACTGTGCTCGTATATAGCGATAATGAAGTATCGCCGGTACGCATCTTTACATTGTTGTTTTTTACTTGGTTGGATTCGATAGCATGTTTATTTATCTTAAATCTTTTGCCATTGTAGGAAGAAAAACGAGCATCTCTCGAAAAATACCGTATCTCTTTTGGGGCTTCTCATATTATAGCACCATCTTCTCATCAACATTCACGCCCCTTTTGATATTCGATCACAAGCTGCCTCTTTCTATTCTTAATCACCCTCTTTTGTAGCACTCCATCTATATACATCCTCTTTCAAGCATACAACCCTCTCCATCCACCCATCCACGCCCATTCATCCACCCAATCCACCCAATCCACCCATCCACGCCTATTCATCCACTCATCCACCCATCCACGCCCATTCATTCATCCACCCTTATTCTTATTATTTTCATCTCTTGTATCCATCTCTTGCGTATAAAAAAAATACTCTCTTTTCGCCACGAATTAATTACATAACGGCCCGATTCGCTATACTCAAGGCGGAAATCCGAAAGCTAAGCGCTTATATTACTGATTAATGGTGTCTTTACTATAATTACCCACGTTGACTTCTCACTTTTACCATCATTCCAACGAAAATTTTGGTGCGGTTTCCGGGGAAGTTTCACGAGCTCGTAAGTGTTTTTTCTATTTGCTGATTGCGATTCTTTCATACGTGGAGTGTTTCTAACGGGGCGACGTGAGTGAAGGTAGGGAAGTGAGAGGTTAGTTGATCTGAGTCGTTGATGATGATTATGATGATGCTGTATGACAGTTTGTTGTGAGCATGTTATGGAAAGATAGAATAAACATTCAAGATTGTCATGCCTAATATGGACTATTGTTGCGATCATTTTCGGTTGGTGATGATCCAAAATCTCATCTAATTTCTAAATTGGTCATTTATAATGAAAAAGATAGAATGTACTTGAGATTACTGGACTCCCAATACTCTTGCTTATTCGTAATCAAATAATAATGTCCTTGAAGGTTCAATATGACCGCTGTTGCACGAGAATTTTTGTGTCGAATTCAGCATTATTATTATAATTTCAGAGAATTTTATTGGATAAATGTCATGTGATTTATAAGTGACCTGCACCAACACTGACATCTTGTTATAACAACAGAAATCTTAGTAAGTTAATTTTCGATATAAGGACATTCTCGTCGTTATATCGAGACCACTTGTACATATTAATAATAATTTGATAAAGGGGCTTTCGCGGCGAACGCTTTGTGAACAATTTTTTACTAGCCAGAGACAAAGCATCCAACAAATATACCAATCAACATTAACGAGAAATCGTTTTAAACAGCGTAAACGATTATTTTCTATAATCTCGTTGAAGGTTTGAATTGAAGGTATTAATTATGCAATCAAGCGGCTATTTATGCCAATTAAGCTTTTCTTTACAGTTAGAAACAGACTATTGCAAGCGAATGGCGCATCTACTGTTTATTGTGTTACAGTATATTGTCTGCTAGAATCGAATCATAAACGGATAATTTTTTTAAACGCCGGCGTTGAAAGAGTCGGTCGATTCCATTGTTTTGACTTAGCACTTTCAGATTCTTGATCCTTATTTATCGCCGAAAGGACTTCTTTTGCAATTCGTTCATACGCCATCTAAAGAGATATTTCGTCAGTCAATGTGTATAAAAAGTTCGGACGTTTCGGTAACCATACCTGAAATGTTCGCAGGGTATCTAATCCACTGAGAAATGTGGCACAAGTATCAAACGACTTTGGCAAGTCTACATTGCCAACTTCAATCATTACATAAATACCAGGTGCTACTAAAACCATAAAGTAGCCGGTCCATCTGAACACTATTCACCACAGAGATGTTACAGTTGGTTAGAATAATTTTAACTGAAATGAGTTGTCTTCGCTTACCAATACATTGCCATCCGAACAAAACGCTATTTACGTTTGTTTTCTGCAGAATCAGGTCAAGGGAGTCCTTCATAAAAATCCCTATTCTAATCAGATCAATAATATTCTTCTTGTCGTTGTTATTACCATCGCCTGTAACCTCCCCAAACATAAGTTCATACGCAAACTTCCCTTTTTATGTTAAAAGTATTAAAAAAAAGGTAACATTACTGGTTTATTTATACGTCCATGGCAATCTCCATACATACCGTTATGAATAACTTCTCCGATCATGTCGGGCTGTTTCGCACGAGAAGGGTCATTATTTGCCATCTTACGAACTTTTGCGCTTGCGCTGGCAGTATTCGGCCATACAGTCGCATGACAAGAAGCATTATGGAAAAACATTCGTAATATAGGACTGATAAAATTAGCCACTAATGTTCCTTCACTCGTTTTTTCTTTTAACTGGCGTACTGGAAGGTTAACAGCCCTGTAGAAAAAATTAATAAATGAGACAAGGATTCTAAGATAGGATTCAATAGATCTCATACTCACAGTTGTTGAAATAACAACTGCATCCTCAGGAATAGTTCATTCTCTTCGGCGTCATCAAATTTCTTTGAGTAAGACTCTATGATTGATTTTCGAAGCTCATCCAATCCATAATCATCATCTAAAGCAATCTAAAATGAAATTATTAGTGAAGATTACATTTGAAGTAATAATGTAAAGCATTCATACCTCAACATATTCTTGAAAGATTGACTTGAGGTTTCTAGGTATTTTTTTCTTCTCAAGAACTGTTGACTTGATATTTTTTCTCAGATCCTCCAGTGTATCTCTTGAGAATTTTTTGATCTGAATGTCAGAGTAGTTGTCAGCTTGCAGTAGGAGAATATGTGACATACTCCTAAAAATTTTAAAGAGTAGATGTCAGTTAAGCTGCTAACAAAAATCATTCCATTACAATTATGCTTACAAAATTTCCTGATAGTTTTCTGTAAGTAACAATCCTGAATTTTTTGCCATGGCCAATACTTCTGATCAATATGATTTAAATAACTGTGAAATATTCTTCCCTTCAAAAACAAACTAAGAAATTCTATTATAATGATGAAATCATGCTTTAATTACTGTGACATAATAAACCTTACCAGTTCATCCCCTTGATCAATAAATTCATCAAATCCAATTTCATCTATATTTAACTTTGGTATTGGTTCACAGTCCTCATCACTCCCATCAGAGTCATCACTCACATACTTTTGTATGTCAGCCAGTTGTAAATAATCAGTAAAAAAACTCATATAAACAAAATAATATTATTATAATACTGACACTATCACTATTAGTTCCAGATGGTGCACATCTCTTGGTATTGGGTGTGGTGTACATGTCTTGACATTCATTATAGTCAATGTTTCATCTTTTTCTCTCATGATTTTGGCTACATGTAGCTGAGTCATCCTGATAATTACAAAAGCTGTTGGATTAGCATCTGGGCTTAAGGCAGTAGAACACAGTGCTATGCAGCTTATGCTGTTTCCTGAATCTTAAAAGACTAAATATCTCACCTCATTAGCATATTCCTTTTCTTGTTCATCCTCTCTGGTGGTATTAAATGCATAAAAAGTGGAATGTTAAACTGTAAATTAATAACAATAACACACAAAGATAACCTTACGATGAGAGATAGTCTGATTCTAATTCCGAGTCATCATCCACCCCCTAATGTGTCAAAGCCATAATTTCATCAGTATTTTCATAAACTTTGGTTGCTTGCAATTGGCACAATCCTTGCCAATGATAAACATTAGTGCTATTTCATAAAAGCAAATCAATTAGCAAAGCAAATTATTACTCTTTTTTGACCGATAAGCTTTCCGACACGATTTATTGTGAGATTATCAAGTTCAGTATGCGCCCTAACGACTTCGGTTGCTTGATAAACCATTTGCAAAGCGTCTGTATTATACCAAAGTGATCTATTTGCTTTTACATCATCCTTATCAAAATATGTGAAGGTTATTAACATCTGGACGTGGAGAGCAACTGCACATATTGAGAAAATACACGACAGCAATGGAGGACCTCCGCCTAACCCACCCTTGCCAAGGCGTAGTCAGCAAAGGGCAGCAAGGTGATCGGGAAAGGTTTAGACAGTCTCCAGAGTCGTAGTTAGGAGCTGGTCCCCCGATTCGGCAAGTTTGGATCCTCCGCCAAGGCGTAGTCAGCAAGAGTTGCAAAGCGATCCACCATCCACAGTCGTCACTCTTTGTATTAGTCGAAAAGTAGCACTGACCTTTTTTGTCTCCAACAGACGACGAGTATAGTTGATTCCGTTTTCGTTTGATGCACACACTGTTTTCAAAAACTTATAAAAGGATCGGTGTGCTACTATAATGTTGGCGCCAGGAACATTGGCAATGGCCCACGCGTCAAAATCTGCTAGTGACCAACGTTCGGGATTCTTCTGAAAATCAGTGAAATATCTATAATAAATCTGAGAAGACATTTTGGAGTACGAGTAAAAATGACAGACGCGTATACATAAAATTTTACATGCTGACATGTTACACACATCCACGAGAGATGATTGGTGTTTTGCTAATTTATATTAATACAAGTGGCTCAACCCTTCGATATAAGAAAGATAGCCTATAAGAAAGGGTTTTTGCTGGTCCCAATTTTTACTATAAATCTCTCGATATTAGATATAAGAAAGTTTGTACTGAGATTTTATAAGAAAGCCTCTCTCGATATAAGAAGGGTAACACCAAAATCTTTCTATTTTGTATGCGCATCCCTCTTGCATTCTAAACCACGTTTTCTGTGATGGATAATTGCAATATATTAGATAACACTATTTACTGGAACCAACGTACTTCGAAAAAAGGAGAGAGAAAAAAAAAGGGTAGATCTATTGAAAAGGCCAAACGAATCTGCTCCTTGTGTACACCAATCAGATATAGTAATGCTTCCATACGTCTTACTAAATGAAATACACAATGAACATGCCCATTATTCTCGTCTAATTATAGGTTTTCTCTTAAATAACGGCGAACAACGATTACCATTAATGTGGTATGATTCTCGGTTTAGACTACGTCCAGTCTGGACAATGTGGTCTTATATGCAATTGGAAAAACTTGGAAATTTTCAAAACACTGCGCGCATACATCGTCAACGCTCTGCTGACGCTTCCTTTCAGTATTCTTCTTACACCAAGAAACACGAATTTTCAATCAATGTAAAATAAGCACGAAGGGGCACAGCCCCCAAAAAATATTATAATAAGAAAATTCTCGCAATGCCTTCACTTTTGAATACAGAAATCAACATGAATTTGTAAATATGTCAACCTTTGATACTTGATTACACGCACAATTCAGCTGATACGAGAATGTAATGATACATTACAAATGATGAAGATTTGTTCGATAGCTCAAGTGATTATACTCATCAGACTGTAACTATCGCACAAGCATATATTGCTCTCTGTTCACTACTAATAGCAATGTTCGGGTAATTCCGGCGCCTCTGTCGTACCCGTTCGATTAAACGTATCTCCCTTTTTAACTGGACAAGGGTTGGACCCGCAAAAATCGACCAAAACAGGCATACCTATCAGGTGTTGCCTTGAAGGATCGGTGTAAGTGATAAGGATGACGCCAACTGTGGGAAAATCAATTTTCGGCAGTTCCAGAGTAGCGTCATCATACTGATCAATTAAATAGGAGCATAAGATCTTGCGATATTGAGCCTAATAAGTTTATTTCATTAAAAACGTACATAGTAATAAGTCCGACCAACAATTAATACCTTTAGGCTGTATATTATGCCTTGGTTCAGAGGTTACAGTTGACTAATGGTGTTCGGCGATAAAAAAATTACTCTAACATTCGACTGTTCGAGATTATCAGTCATATGACTTGAGACATTACCTACGAGTAAGATAATTTTTCGATTCTTCTGACGATATATTTTATTCAGTTGATTAAGATAACTAGCGAAGATCGACCGCTGCATCCAAGCTGATTTATTGTGGTAATACCAAACTCCCAAAGATTCTTTATCAATACCACGCATAGCTCGAGGATTTTTAACATTATGAATAAACAGAAGTAGTAACTTTTCATCTCCAGCTGCTTTGCACGTAACTAAAAGAGAGACACGATCTTTTACCAATTTCTTTCCACTGACAGGCCCATGAGCGAGAATTTTCGCGGTTCTAATTTCCAATTTCATCACAGTTAAATATGTCGCATGCATTATAGTCAGCTAAAATTAATTTTAATTCAGATCTTTGTTGTGGTAAAAGATCGCTATTAACACTCCCTGCTTTACCGCACTTTTTGTAGGACTGTAAGTTATTTCTTTTTTTAAATCCATGCAACCACTCATTTGCTGCACTAAAACCCTGGTATTCAAACAATGTGGTAAATTGCCTTGTTTTTTGTTTTATAATATGGTCTGTGAGTGTTATGTTATCGCGAACAGCGTTTTCGATCCAAAGACCCATGCCTCTTCAACATTTGGATAATCACTCTGACGACAACGTTTTGATCTTCCTGGTAACGATGTTTCATCAACGTTCTTTATTCATCAATATTTCGCTCACTGTTGACTCCCCACAATGAAAAAGCCTATCAAGTTCTTTGTTGGTAAAAGAAGGATTGTTTAGTTTTTTCTGACATATGTCTTTTTTTTTGCGCTCCAGTTAATGCTGCTCTAGAATTTTTGGTTTTATATTTCGCGACCTCAGTCAAAAGAACTAATAAATTGACCATTTGATAACTCCATTCAGAATTACAGTCAACCCTTTTCTATAGTCACACTGTTGGGAACAATGCAACTTTTGTTAAAAGTGTGCTTATAAAGAGGTTGTGACTATAAAGGAGATGACTGTAAATAGAAAATACAATCGCAATTCGGCGAGGCTTTATTAATACTTGACTACACAGTCACTCTCGATATAATGATCCCCCGATAAGATGAAGTGGCCTAATATGATGCTTTTCCCGGGAACCAAATCAGTTATAATAAAATCGGGATCGATATAATGAAGATACTTATAATCTTGCGATATAACGTTATAATGATGTTTTTGTGCGATTTATACAGAACCAAGTTTAGTAAAATGAGCATTAAACCAATTAATCAAGATTTCGATGCTTTTATTATTATCATAAATTCTTATTCGTTCGCAACAATAAAAAAACAGATGAACAATAAAAGTATAGTTAGTAAAAAACCTGCAATAAAGCGGGTTACTTTAACAGGTGTTCAAAAAGTGATGTGTGTTTAAAAAAGAAAGCTCAACCTAATTTGACTCAAGTGGAGCCTGCTAAGTATAAAGAAAAAAAAAACTTTTACATTCAATTAATGCTAAGTGACAAGGCACCTTAGATTCATTTTTAAGATAGAATAGTTTATTTAAATACTGCTAATAAGAAATTTTGCTTGATATAATGATGTTTCACATGACCCAAGTATGGCCTTCATTATAACAAAATTTTTTGTTATAATAAACCTTTGATAATATGAACCTTTTGGTCAGCTTCATTTTATCAAGAGTGACTGTATATATAATAATGGTTGTACAAGAAGCATATAATGATGATAGTCTTTATACAATGAAGACATTTGTCATTCAAGACAATATATAACAATAGTTGTGCAAACTTCAGTCTATTGAGGGCCTTTTAAATATGATGGTATGGGGTTTCCCTTTGGTATATCCAGTATCAAGGGATTTAAAATTAACTTTGTTATATTATTATTAAAATTTTCTGAACAGCAAAAAAGCTTCATTATATAATAAGCCAAATTTGTTATATCCAGGTTCACTGTGTATTAGCTCTCCACATTATATATAAGTTGCTTATTCCTTGATCTACCAGGCCTTCAGGCTTTCTGAACTTAGTTTCTTCACTCCTGTTAACCTCATTAGATAACTCCTGCATGACATTATGGCATTCAATTAATCCATCCTAAGCATGCATAAAGCTAGCAATCATCCAGGTTTAAACATACAAAGTAAATAAACATACCACATTAACATAGCATGCAAGAAGCTCAAAAACACCCATGTACTCTCCTATAGAGGACAAAGCAGAAGGAAACTCCCATTTCTAACCTCAATCATCTTGCACAATCATGGTCTGTAAAGTGATGTCTCCAGTAATGTAATCTGATTCTCTGCAACACAGTAAAAACAATAAATATTACTGCATAATTAGTATACATTATTATTATCACAATAAATAAATCTTTGTACCAATCACTTGAATACTGTATGTTTTCAACTTTTTGGTTGTCTCACTGGCCCCAAGATACTTGCAGAGGCAAGCAAGGAGAATGGAAATGCTGCCATTGGTTAATTTAATGGAATTGTCTTGTATATGTTTCTGATCTTGTTGTAGTGGACCATCCAATGCCCTTTTGTACAGCTTGTCATCATTGGTGAACATTATGTTCATTTAAACTTTACAATAACTTGATTGTGTCTACTTAGCCATGTCTGCAGCATATATTGCAATAAGCTTTCTAAGGAAAACTGGTTGTGGTTACCAATCAAGGATTCAATGTCTTCACATAAAGACTTCCATTCAAGCTACATGATTAATGATTTAAATAACAGTTTGTCCTGATTGCAGTATTATGATTGATAAGATTCTTGTTTATTTCTCATTGTTTTCCATACAAATGTCTCATGCATTTCTGTGAAATCACTTCATCATATGCATTCTGTAATCACTCTTTAATTCTTGTATTTCATTTTTCTGATTCTTTAGTTGTTACTGCACTTGTGCTAATTCATTGGCAAGATAAGCTACTGATTGGAATTTCTGTTGGCTTTCCCATTGACTACATCCCAACAGTCTGCTACCTCTATTAAGCTCAGCAAGTGTGTCAAATCAATGGATCATCCGGATTTATTTAATTCTGAGCGGTTCGTTTTGTCAAGCATCGAATCGTAACGGCGAAATATATAAACTAACTAACTAACAAACATTAAGTCCTGGTAGAATTGAAAACATAATACGTAGTATATAATTTATCGCATGGATAGGCGCTTTGCGCAATATATTAATATCATTACTCGATTTTTACTATATAAACAAGATTACTTTTTTTTCGCCTGTAAAATATATATCGAAGTCCGTGCACTCTGTGCATTAAAATTGAATCCCGTTACAGATATACATGTATAAAACTAAAAGTATTTAGATATATTAATTTTTATAATAATCGACTAAGTTGTTTAAAATGGATTGAAATAGACAGATTTATGGACGTTACACGCCTGAAGAATGCATGAGGAAATTTTCAAATTGTTTAACGCGAAAAAAAAACAAAAAAAAGGAACGAAGAGAATCTATTTATTATAAAATCAAAAAAAAATTCTATAAAAAAACATACAAAAAGGAATCCTATTCGTGTCCCGTTCGAATACTTATGACCACTACTGAAGTTTACAAGACAAAGTCAATTTCGGAAACCATTTTTTTCTCTCGTTACACTCTGTTGATCAGGTCAGCTCCCCATTCGAATGGCTTTTCTTCATAATTTATAATAATAAACTACTGTTGTATGTCAGTTTGAAATTTGTGTCCATTCGGAAATAACATATATCGATTCTAAACAGCTGTGATCGCAAAGACAATCAAGTAATAACATTATAAAAGTATTTATTGACATTACGATATCAACTTGTTGTATGTCAATTTGGAAATAACATAAATTACAAATTGACATACAACAATAACAAATCTTCAATAAACTTCCAAGTAATAATAAATTGACTTAATTCTAAAGAAAACACATGAAATGACCAATACATATTTCTTGTCGTACTGTTGGTCGATACAGGAACTATCGAGCACAAGGGTACACAAAAAGCTTATTCTAAACACACGCATCACATGTGACATACAGTATATGTTGAAAAGCAGATGCCAAAAAAAGAGATGTGAGCTTGTGTGGAGAAATGGATAGATTTCGTATTGAAAATTATAAAAAGTCGTACGGTCGTTGAATTGTTGTATGAAATACGCTAGGCTGTGTGTGCACTACCGTTTGTAACACAGTCAGTAAACGAAAGAATTTGTAGAACTTCAACATGTCCGGTTAATAATTTACTAGGATCCCATCAATCATCAACTTCTTCGATATCATTATCAATCGTCCATCATTTTAAGTATCATCGTTTGTTCCGAATTCATCATCGACATCATCTTCTAGAGCCCTTCAAAAATTTATATTCTCCATACCGACACTAAAATCGATTAGTAAGTTTTTTCATAGCTAAAGAGATATTTACTAAGATATACTTATCTTTAATTACGTTCAAACCCATTTTCATCTATAATAATAATAATAATAAGCAGTACCACGAACGTTTGATTTGGTCGTGTAAAGCTTTGTATTGGTCAAAATTATCGTTGACAGTCATGTGAGACTGATCACCTGAAAGCGAAAAAAGTCTTATCGAGCCTTTCGGCAGTTTGTTTCTTTTTTCGAACTCATATCATATACCGTGAAAAGAGTCTCTTATGATATACAGCATGTATTATTTTCCCCGGGGAAATGTGACAATGCTCATCACTTATTTGGTCAGATCATGTAGTGATAGGCAAAGTACTCACGATTATCATATGACACAGTTATGTACGTATATGTAGACTGTAAATCTATTCTTAAATTCTGCATTCTCAGACTCGAGTTTAGTGGTGGCTGACTTATGTTTCTCTAGCCCCGCGATTCTAGCGTTAAGTTTATCAATCTCAGTTGAAGAATTTGCTATAATTTTCTCCAACTAATACAGGGTCTGGTTCATTCCACCGAAAATTATTTCACCGACAAAAACTGCCAAAAAACCAATTTCTGGTAATGAATGCCGTACATGTGAAGGACCCCATGTGAAAACGTAATAAAATTTTTGGTGGATTGAAAATCTACTTCATTTTAAGTTTTGGTATAAACAATAAAGAAAAAGGAAATAAAAGTTGTCACGTTTAAATCATATGCTGGCTCCTGTCTTAATTTGAACATAGCGGATGTGGGGTAAAAAAAAATTGCAAGTCTAGTACGTATCTGGTATAAATTACTTTACTGACACCGACAAATCGGCAAAACGTAGGATTATTTCTCACCTTGCCGAAGTGATTTTCGGTGAAATAAATGGGACCTCACAAAACATTCCTTTTTTAAATAACGGGAAAAAATTATGAACGACGAAAGTAAAAGGAATAATTAAAAGATCAGCCAACCTCTTTTTTCTTATAAAAAAGGCTGTAATTTTGCTTGCTCTGAGATAATAAGAAAAGCCAATTTTCTATTACAATTATCATGAAGTTTTCCGGAATTCTTCTATTAGTTATCCTCTCTGCGGCAAATGCTTTGCCAAGTCCTGGATATCCGATTGCTGCAATGTCCGTAAGATCCGAATCATTGTTAAAACGAGTTGCCTCATATCCAATTGCCGAAAGACTCGAACCAGATCCTGACGATCCTGACAATCCTGACTCGTATCCAATTGCCGAAAGACTCGAACCAGATCCTGACGATCCTGACTCGTATCCAATCGCCAGACGATCCGATTGCCGATACCCTGATACCAGATCGTATCCAATTGCCGAAAGGGGCTGCTAATACTCTATTTAACCAGTCAATTTTTTAACCAATTTGTTATTTATTCATTTATTATTCATTAGCATTTTTAATTATACACATGTAAACTGATATAAATAATAAATTTTAATCTGTTTTTATATATTAAAAAATTACATTAACGTTAATGTTATATATATCTGTTCTGACCCAAATCAGAACTTGACCCAGTTCGGAACTGGGTCAACCCAATTCGGAACCGTCACATGGTGATGTCTATTTCGACGATGTCCCGTAAATTTATGCAGGAGAAGTTGTACAAATGCTATTTATTGCTATCGGGAATAATGCAGGTGAAAGCTACGAAAAACGATATCACATTATGTATCATCTCTATTATGAACGCTATACTTCTTCATAAGATCTCGATGACAATCATCTGATTTGTTGTATTTTGTATTTCTCAGCAATCTTCAAGTTAAATTATCCCTATCTATAATTACTGGTAGTGCACTAACTCTGAGATTCACTACTGTATTGCTCTTCACAATTAATTCAATCAACACAATTGATTAACACATTAGTTGTTCAATATGATCAGGTCAGAGTTGATGTATTGCTACTATTCATTTGATGGGATCTGATCACATCTGCTGTTTAATCGTTTATTAATTAAACTGCATCAAATATTGAATCACTATACTAATACTGTAGTAAGCTGACAACAGAGCTATATTTAGATATACAGTACCATGACAATGCAATCATCATACAATCGATGCTTCATAATCCGGATGATGCAGCATATCAAAATTGTTAATTTTTCAACAATGCTATCAATCATACAATCA